CTTTTTTTAGACAGTCTGTCAAATGTAAAAAGATGCATAGCTCATGTGCATTAGCAGCAGCAAACAGCCAGAGGTGTTTTGCTTTTGGGTATGTTTATGGGTTGAGTTAAAATAGATCCAGAACTGTGGCTTCCTATAGCATTTCTTATTTCCCTCATAAATGCTTCTGGGGATCAAGCAGTCCTGTTTTATCAAGTTGCATGAAGGCTATATAAATATCTTAAAGAAATAAAATAAGTTCCCAGTTATATGGGATGGGACTCATGAAAAGTGCTTCTGCTCAATTCTGAGGTGATTTCTCCTTCCCCTCAGTTTTTCCAATAATAGTCCATTATAAGTAGTATAGTAACCTGCCTACTTAATACAGTCTTCTATTGTTTGTGTAGAACTGGGAGTGGGTTTATAGGAGCATCAGTCTCTATTTCTATCAACTTCATTGTACATCTAAATCTGAATCCATTGTATTGTTTAAGGAAGAGGCTATACATATCTGCATATGTAAATTTCAGTGTCCTGTGGCCTAGGTCTTCATAAATGAGTTTAAAATTAAAGCCATACACGAAATGGAGAATTAATCCTATTGAATTCACTTTTATTTTTAGGTAGCAATATATACAATTGTTCTGTTAAAATTCAGTAGTTATTTGCATTTTTAGCATCTCAGGAGAAAATGACATACTGTACATATATAAAAATGTAGCTCCTCTTTTTTATGGATATTTACTGGTTTTATGCAGAGTAACTGCAAATTGAAGACCACCTATGGATTTTAATTTCAGTATAGTTATGAACATAGTTTAAATTGCTATTAATCTGTAGAATGTGAGAATGGAAAATCATAGTGCTGACAGAAGAAATGGTGAAAATTCCTTCTCAAAACCACATGACAGAAAGCATCCAAACTATTATATAAATGTAAAAGTTAACATTAAGGAGAGTCATGTCTGTTAGAATATGTGTTACAACTCTTCTGTGCAAATAATCCTCTTCCTGAAAAATATGTCCTTACAGAAATATTTTAAATGGAGTACATAATAAAATAATACGTTAACACAATACTTTATGTCAGAATGTGTGTCTTTCACAAGTCTTTAATTTCTTATTATTTTGAATCTGGACTGCCAAACTTATAGCATCTACATGCCAGATACTATAGTTATGCTACTTGTAATTATATAACTATTTGTATAATTAGAAGTAATATTTGTTATTGTTGTTAATTGCAAAGTCGTGTCCGACCCATCGCGACCCCATGGACAACGTTCCTCCTTTATGGATTACTGCCTTGTCGCGGTGAAGGGGCTTGCGTAACTCAATGAAGCTATAAGCTATGTCGTGTAGGGCCACCCAAGAAGGACAGGTCATAACAGAGAGTTCTGACAAAATGTGATCCACTGGAGAAGGAAATGGCAAACCACTCCAGTATCTTTGCCATGAAAACCCCATGGACAGAAGTAGTATAGTAGTATACTATTAAAATTAGTAATAGAAAAAATATTACTTATTAAACCCAAAACATATATCAATTCTATAATTATTACTGCCTTCCCTATTCTGATGATTATTTATAATAGTTAAACAATGAGAGATACCAAAGTGGTTCATCCAAATATGAGACCAGGATCCTGACAAAGCAATTTTCTGTGATCTATACACAGTGACTATTTCTCCCTCTCCTAAAATAAGCTGCAAAGGTTTCTTCAGTCTGGATTATCCTCATCTGAAACACATCAAGGGGAAACACAACCCAGTGAAGAGTAGAAATTCAAACAAACTAATTTATCTGAATATTATTAGCAATGGAAACAATAGGATATATCCCAAGCCATGTATCTCTGCAAATGCAAAAATATATTTCTCCAAATAAGTTAATCTGAGATGTTGGATAGATTCATATATCATACTAAACCATAATATTAGTTATTAGGTTTTGGCTTAGTGCATTCCATGTATCCAGCATACTATAATTTATTCAAAAGCCGTGGTTAAACAAGACAATGTGCAAACATGACTGTATGAAACATTTCTACTCAAAGAGGAGGAAAACCAATTTTTAGTGCATGCTGCACTTTCATTTTCTGTGCCATTCTGGAAAAATTGCAGAAGTCTTGGGAGAATAGACCAATGTATCTAACAGAATAAAAACTGGAGAAGTCCAATAGACATTGTCTGGACCCAGACATACCAAAAGAGACTCTCTCCCTAGAAAAGAAAAGAAAAGAAAAGAAAAGAAAAGAGAAGAAAAGCGATGTAAAAAAGATGTTGAGACTCTAGAAAGAGTACAGGGAAGAGCAACAAAGATGATTAGGGGACTGGAGGCTAAAGCATACAGTAAAAGGAACGGCTGCTGGAATTGGGTATGTCTAGTTTAGTGAAGAGAAGGACTGGGGGGGGGGCATGATAGCAGTGTTCCAGTATCTCAGGGGCTGCCACAAAGAAGAAGGTGTCAAACTATTTTCCAAGGCACCTGAAGGCAGGACATGAAGCAATGGGTGGAAACTAAGCAAGGAGAGAAGCAACCTAGAACTAGGAGAAACTTCCTGACAGAACAATTAACCAGTGGAACAACCTGCCTCCAGAAACAGTGAATGCTCCAACACTAGAGGTTTTTAAGAAGAGACTGGCCATTTGTCCAAAATGGTATAGGGTTTCCTGCCTGAGCAGGAGGTTGGACTCAATGACCTCCAAGGTCCCTTCCAACTTTACTACTACTACTACTTCTACTACTACTACTACTACTATTATTATTATTATTATTATTATTATTATTATTATTAAAAGAAAAGAACCAACTGGAAAAGCACTGAACTGTTTCATTCTAGCTCACAAAAAGAATTGATAGTCTTATTATTGTATCAGACATAGTCTAAACAGACCTTTTAGTGTTGGAAGGCACATCAAAACCTAAAAGTTATGGCATTACTTATGCAACTCCCAGTTTCCTCAGTCAGCTACAGGTTCTGATTCTCCATCTTACATTCATCCAGAGGCACTATCAGCCTTCAGGAAAAATAATTCACCTTGTATGGTCATAAGCTGCCTAGAGTTGCCTTGGTGAGATGAGCAGCATGGAAATCTAATAATAAATAACATTTTAAAAAAGTAATTTGGAGAGGGAGAAGGAGAAGTCTTTAAGCCATCATATAAGTGCAGTTCCATTTAGTGTTTCTGGAACTAGTCCTCTGCTTATACCATCAATCAGAATAACATGCCATGAAGGTAACAGAAATAGCATCTGCCTTTGTTTCCATGTAAACATACATAGGTTAAAAAATATACACAACCCATCACTTCCTGCCTTATTGTGAGAAAGAATATTTTTTTACAGAAACATCAATAGTTGTAAACCCCCACTGAGAAATAAAATGGCATCACGCAACAGAAGAAGCCTAGCATAGTTTACAGTCACTTATACTATAGCTGAATGAGTGAAATGTGAGGGGATATTTGCCAAGCTACTTGACACTTTCAAGTCAGCTTAATCAGATACCCTTTCATTTCCTGTAGTGGAGAGACCATATTCTGCTACTCACTATACATCAGAATCTATTTACATATTCTAAGAGAAGAGATGAACTCTCAAAGTGTGTCATTTGGTTGCACTTTGGTGTCCTTTAAAATCAAATAATCTGTGTTGGAAAAGGAGGCCCCAAAAAAGCAATATTCAGCAAGCAAGATAATATTCTCACTGCAGAGCTATACACTCCTAAACTTTTCTTTATAAGCTCACCTTATTAACTTTGTGGTAGAAGTTTAAAAGTTTTCAGAAATATACAGATTTGAGGCTTTTTTCTTCAAAAGCACTGTACACAGATCATGGATTCAAAAATGGTTTAGGGTTGTAAGTTAATGTACTGTTTGCAGACTGATGTCAGTTTCCTTTTAAATTGAACCTGCATCAAAAGCCACACATATTTTTGTATTTAGGAACATTTATAGAGTAATTGGATCTTTGAGGAGGAAAGAGAACAAATACACAATCTGTAGAGCAGTTGGCTTTGGATATGCACACATATGCTAAGCTGTTGGCTTTATCATGTTCATTTATTCAAAGTGAATTTGTTAATAAAGAATGGAGAAAAATCAGGCAGCTTTACACATTTCTTTTCTTTTTGCAAATGTTTTTTTTCCAATCTATATTGAGTGAGTGTTAGAGAACAATATATACAAACTACAATTTCACTTGCAGCCGAGGAGAAAAGGTAAAGTAAGCTGATAGCCAGCATGGAAAGTTCTATTTATATGAAATAATAATCTGGTCAGCCTCATGATCTCCTTTCTAGATTTTTTAATAATAGTATTAAAGTTTTCCAAGACTGATATTGAAATTGAAATTGAATTTTAGACTATTTCACACAGCATATAAAAGCTTGTTTTTATTTCACTATTTGTGAACAACACCTAAACAATTGTACACACGAATATCCATAGTTTACAAACAAACAGCTATTTTGGAATATGTGTGGCTGAAATTTGAACTAAAATCTTCAGAAAAAGCAATTAATTGTTGCGGGAGAATGGAAATTCAAGTTGCAGGAAGCATGGAATAAAGAAACTCAAGGAAAAGATATAATGCATATGAAAAAGAGAATCATAGAAGAATATAGAAAAAAAAACATTTCAGGATCATAGTTATCAATGGCATACCTAGAATGTTTGAAGCAGATCATATTTTAATACCCCACCCCCCACCCTATCCGTTGCTCCTGTGCCATGCCACCCACAGCCAAACAGCTGATTGGAATGCTGGCAGCAGTGATCTGGCTGCACACCACCAACTCGCCAGATACCTCCTCATTATCCATGTCACCAGGCAGTGCAACCTCTTATTGTCAGCACCTGTGGCAGACTGTTCCTACTATCCCATCCTTTATTTATACACCTTATTTGTTTAAAACATTAATACAGCTGCCCCATCCTCTAATCAACTCTCGGCAGCTCCCAATTACCCTTGATATGCCACTGATAGTTATCCAAGAATAGGGTACTTGATTACTTACTGAAAATCTTTGATAAGAGGTGCATTCCCCAGTTTAAAACATGGTTTTTCAACTCCACATGAAGTCTGCCTCAAAGAGAAGCTTTCTGCTAAATCAAAACCTGAAAGATGTAATCAAGCTGTATCATCAACTGCCCACTTAATACAATTTATCAAAACAGATAATATTGTTGATAGATTAACTGAAATTTTGGCCCGATCCCAGTTTTCACTGTTGATAGTACGCTCATAGGAAATTCTCCTAGTAGTTGACTTGGCAACCTCTGGGGAATGTACTTGTCATTTCCTTTCGCATCTGAATGAGCTGGAAATGCTGCTTTCATTCTTTCATAGTAATTAAAGCAAAGATGAATTAAAATCAGAAAGATGATTCTAAACTTATTTGCAACACTCCAAATAAAATGTTCTCCTCTCAAAAGAACAGATTTCCAAAGATTAAAGGCACAATTTATTATTAAAACCAAGGTATGCATTGTAATAATGTTGGAAATTACCTGAAACCCTTAAGTTTTCTTTGCACAGATGGGTGAAGTGATGTCCTTCTGCTTTCAATATTGGGCACTCAGGAGCTAAAAAAAGAATATAAAATGTCCTAAACTTTAGGAAAAAACTGAAACAACAGATTCCACTGTCTGCTGTAATACGTCAAACCTTAATATAAGAAATAATCAATGGTGTGCAAACTGAAGATACTTGGACTTCCAACCAGCTTCAACAGCTTCTTCAACAGTCCTTGTAGTTTCTTTGCAGTTGGTATGGTGTAGAGCAGTGGTTCTCAACCTGTGGGTCGGGACCCCATTTGGGGTTGAACGACCATTTCACAGGGGTCGCCAGACAAGGCTGTCCGCCATTTTTTTCTCCCTTTTCTTTGGCCACGCCCCTGGCACCCGGTGATGTATAAGTGGTTGGGAGTCACCACAACATGGGAACTGTATTATGGGGTCGCGGCATTAGAAAGGTTGAGAACCACTGGTGTAGAGGAAAATTTCAAAGTAAGCATTAAATGTCCAGCTAAATGGCAGCATTGAGCCAATTGTGACTGATCTTGAAAAAGTTGAATCATATCTACAGGGAGTCCTTGGCTACGATGGAGTCTAAAATTTTGGTTGTAAATCATTGTGGTTTTAAGTCGAGGCAACTAGTGACCAGACTCAATTTTGCAACCTTTTTTACGATAGTGATAGTCAGTCACCACAGTCATTAAGCAAACCATATGGTCATTAAATGGATCCAGCATATACAATGGGCATTTTTGCCGTTTTCTGCCAGAAAAGGCAAAACAAAAAAAAAGTCACAAATTGCAGATACATGACCATGGGATGCTGCAACCAATTGTAATTGCAATCCGGTTCCTAAGCACCCGAAATGCAATTACCTGTCCCCTGATGTGTGTGCTGGTGTGTGAGGCAGTTGGACTTAAAGGGTGCTTTTGTGAAATCGGCTATAACTTTGAACAGTCATTAAGCAACCTGTCATTAAATGATGACTACCTGTAGTTAACATTTGGATGGGGGATCACAAGGACTATAGTCAGTATTGAGAACTGTGAAAAACCATTATGGAATTGCCCCAATGACATGTCAGTTCCGTACTGTTACACTGAAGAAGACTACATGGACTGCTCCATGAAGCTGCCAGGTATTGTACTTGACTCAGAGAACACTTGAACTAGAAATAGATTTACTTGATAATGTAAACTAAAAAACTAGTTTAACATCAAAACTTCAAGAAATCTCTAAATATAGAACAAATCTGCCCATCCAAATCTGTAATCTACATTCACTACAGCCCACAAAAACAAAAATAAATGAAGGCCTGATTGCCCATTCCAGAACTTTATTAAAGTGCAAACTTGCTATTTTTTAAAAAATACTAGTAATATCAACATAGAATATGTGACACCTTACCCTGCCCTGAAGTGTTTATTCTACAGTATTTGAGAGCTGAAGAGCAAGGTGATGAAGGAAGCAAATGAGATTCAATTTATCTAATTCATTTTAATATACATTTGACAAAAGCCTGATTTGGGGAAAATATGGGAAGGGATTTGAAGGAAAAAAGATGGTATCTTTGTTCTTAAATGGAAGTCAGTAGCTAAAGGGTAGAAGAAAGAAAAGCTGAAATTCTCTTAAGAGAGAAAAAAATGAAGAGATGTGGGTAGTTAAACTGGAGATTTTAGGCAGGGCTAGATTAGAAACTGATAGCAGCAAGATATAAAGAGAATGGTATTTCATAACTTTGAAGATGAAGGTTCAATAGGAATTTTGCCTAGTCATTTGTGTTCTAATGAGGAAGGAAGGAAGGAAGGAAGGAAGGAAGGAAGGAAGGAAGGAAGGAAGGAAGGAAGGAAGGAAGGAACCGATAGCAGATGTACTGGAACTTCTAATTAGGTATTCAAGGTTGCCTTTTCTAAGTATCTTCAAGTGAAAAAATTCTATCCGGGGAGATGGCTCTCCTGTTTGTTTTATTTTGCTAAATGGTTTAATTAGTCTTGTTTCCAACTACAGAAGAAAATTTACATACACATATCTACATTTATGTATTTACTTGATTTCTATAATATAGCTGCCCATGTCAACAAGTGACTCAGCATACATTTGTATATGCTTTTTTCAATATATATATATATCTTTGCATGAAATTTTTCCATAATAAATTGCAGCTGGATATTGCTTTTTGCTAAAACGATATGATTGTGGTTATTTTTCTATAATACACAAATTTGTGTGTGCATATTTCAGGTTCTCTTAAACTCTCCTAAATCACTATTCTTCTAACAATTTTTATGAGACAAATTTCTGATCCAACTCTACTTTTATACCTTCTTTCCTTTATTGCCTAAGCAGCTTTATAGGTGAATTTTCTCCAGTTCCATTACTTGCTTAGTCATCATTTTAAAATAAATCTGCATTCTAAAAAATGTAAATGAAAATATTGTATGCCTTTAAAATCTCATATCATTTAGGCAATAGGGGAAAGAATCTGAAAACTGATCAAGCAGGGGGGAAAATCCTTTTCTTTCTATTATTCTATTCTTGTGAAGTGTCATTCACATAGGGAGAGGTTTTTTTAATTTTTGTTTACAAAATATTCAACAACTTGTGTTCCACTGAGTCATCCTTTCAAAAATATTTCCTTACATAAGCAGAGAAACAGAATGATCATAGCTAGGCAAAAACAAACAAACAAACAAAAACAACCAGGGGGATTTGAAGCCACTTCCTGTTGGTTTTATCCTTGATGTTACTGTGAGGAGTTGCAGGGAGTGGCAGAAATCACTCCTACTCTTCCTTGACTGAGCTGTGGAACTGCCTGCCATTTTGCTGGGAGGAAGGAGAAGAAAGGGAGTTGCAGACCATGAGGGAATTTGTACCTTTGCTTCCCATCCTATCATGTCCCCAAGGACTCTCTCCCACAAGGCAGGAAGAAGCACCGCTGTAAAGTACCATCGACAGCAAATTTACAGTGTTCTGGAGGCTTCAGGCCACTAAAAATGGCAAAGTTTCTGACATGGAATGTTAATGGTTTGAATTCACCACAGAAAAGAAAGTATTTCACTATTTGAAACAACATAAGAATGATGTTATATGTTTGCAAGAGACTCATATTACTTCAAAGGACCAAAAGTATTTGATTAACTCCTGGCTGGGATTACATTTTATAACCTCTGCTCCGCAGAAAAAAGGGGGAGTAGTTATCTATGTGAAGAAAGATTTATTGCCGAAATTAATTGATTCTGACTCACAAGGAAGATATGTTATTATTGATTTATTATTAAATGGTAAGAGATATCTTATTATTGGATTATATACCCCTAATCAACAACAAAAACAAGTTGATACATCAGAAATAAACTCAACTGGATTATAAATCTGTTATTATGATGGGTGACTGGAATGGTGTTTTAGATTCAAGTAAAGATAAGAAGGGTTCTTTTAAATCTCCTAATCATGCTAAACTACCCAAAACTTTTTTTGACTTGAAGGATGATTTGGAACTTAGAGACATTTGGCGAGAATGGAATATTGAAGAAAGAGACTTGACTTTTTTTTCGGACAGGCATCAATCGTATTCCAGAATTGACTTTTTCTTAATTACTAATGATTTTTTTCTAGGGTCAAGAATGTTAAGATTTTCCCTAGAATATTGTCTGACCATAGTCCTGTATGGTTGGAGTTATCTGTTGAAGATGGGAATAGAAGGACTTGGAGATTGAATTAAAATTTATTTAGATATGAGGGGAATTCACAGAAATGTAGAGAATATTTGAAGGAATTTTTTCTTTTGAACATGCATAAGGGTACCTCGATGCCAATGGTTTCGGATGCTAGTAAAGCGTATATGAGAGGGGTTTTGATTCATATGAATAATGCGCATAGGCATAAACAGATGCAAAAACGTAAAGAGTTGGAAGAAGAGATTAAACTCAAAGAGAAGGCTCTTATTTTAAATCCACAGGATAATAGTTTAAAGGTTTCTATAACTATGCTTAGGGAGCAATTTAATATGTTAATGGCTGACCAGATTGCAATTAATTTGCGGTATATGAAACATAATATGAAAATGTTTTATAGGTGGCATTTGGATCCTCAAAAGCTGTCTTGTATGTATCCTAATTTACAGCCTAAATGTTGGAGATGTGGAAGCTTAGATGCAATGTATTTTCATATTTGGTGGACTTGTAGAAATATAAAAGCTTTTTGGATTAAGATTTGGTGGAACATTCAAAAGATTTTTAAGAGAAAGATAAAGTTTACGCCACAATTATTTTTATTAGGTGTTATTGTAGACTTTGATGTTAAAGAAATTAATTTGATGTTGAATCTTATAACAGCTGCAAGATTACTGGTGGGCCAATATTGGAAGAACGATTCAGTGCCTACTATGGAAGAATGGATACTTAAGGTGTCTAATTTAGCAGAAATAGCAAAAATTTCCGCTTATTTGAAGGATTATTCACAAGAAAGATATATTTTGGTTTGGAGAAGATGGATAGATTATATTCAGAATAAATATGAGACTAAAAAGTATTATTTAGCTTATGAGTAAATTTTAGATTATTTTTAATAGTTTAACATGATTGAATTTATATTATTTTTAGTATTATTGTTTAATTATATTATTATTTTTGGTTTTTAATTTGTTAATATTTATTTTGAAAAGGAGTTAAAGAATGTTATGGATTTGATTGTTAGCAGAGTTGGGTAATGTTAGTTAAATTATGATTGCTTATTTGTAACCCTGTAATCAGCCCTGGGAAGTGGGGGAGGGTGGAGGGTGGGAGGGATTTGGGTTATATATTGTAAACAAATTTTAAAAACTTTTAATTAAAAAAAAGTACCAGTGCTCCCCAGCCAGGCATCTGAGTCGCTCCCTCATCCTTCCCACACTTCCCATCGCTGTTAAAGAGATGTCAAATTTCAGCCTTGCTTTTTTTGCCTTATGGCCAGCGAATTGGCTACAGAGGCCAGAAAGAAGCAGGAAAGAGGGCAGGGAATATGGTCCTCCCATTTTCTCTTGTATCATGCAATTAACGGGTTTCTGGGAAGTGCAATTGGAAGGTGCAAAA